TGCTTTTTGGATGTAGCATCCGTGCAATCCTGGAATCTGGCAAGGCACAGAAGATGCAACGCCGAGCTGTCTATAAAAAGCTTCTATTTTTATCCAGTCACTGTATGAATTTATAGAGCATTAGAATACGTTTCGCGTATACTAAAGTGTCATTGAAGGCAGTTTCTTGAAACCTTTAATTTGTTCACCTTTGATACTAATATTTCATTGTCCAAAACAGATGACAAGGACAAAAGAAGTTTGGGCACTTTGACTTTTGACTGTAAGCAGAAGCCCCTTTGTGATGCCAACGCTATCTGTACAGCTGACCTAAGAGACGAGAAACGTTTCATTTGTGTTTGTAACAATGGCTTTAAAGGCAATGGTTCTGTTTGCCGAGGTATGAGAGTGTTTTAGACCCATTATGTAGTTTATAACTAGGCCTCTTATCTATTCAGTTCGACTGTTTTACTCTAATGCAAGGCCAGGTTTTGAAACTTGTTTTATATGACAAAGTTGAAAAAAATCGATAAATCGATTCAGGCAATACTTGGACTGTTGGGAAAAATCAGTGTCAAACGATTGGCTATATCTAAACTCTTCTGGCATTGCGGAGGTCAAAAGTGATCTCACCTCTAATGAGATATTCATAGGAGATTCTTGCCCTTAATCTTTTCTTTCTTTTTATTTCTTATACAGAAAACAACACTTACAAGTACAACATTCGCAATATACTAGTTGTGTGCATACATTATTTACATTCATTTTCTTTTCCATTACCCTCTCTTGTCGCATTACATTAGCAAACCAAAATGATATCTAAATGAGGTTTTGTCTAACCATGGCTATTATGTATGTCATCACTTTCTACAGACATTAATGAGTGCTTATCCCAAGACCTTCATTCGTGCCCTTTTACTGCCAAATGTGAGAACACCATTGGTTCCTACCAGTGCAGTTGTCTCCCAGGATTCCATGGGGNCACTGTGCTGTGTCTCTGCATAAATAAGTAGGGGTTTCCCAGTCTGAATTCCAAGAATCTACACTTTCTTAAGACACACTTTTCTATTTCTGTCGTGTGTATCGACAGGATCTGACTTAGGTCACGTGCTTTCCGAGAATGAAAGGCCTAAATTTTGCCTTGACGAAAGCTGAATGTTTTAAGTGCTAACCAATGACATGTTTCCGCATAATAATTAGGGGGTTCCCCCTTCTGAAATCCGAGAATCGACATTTCAAGGAAACGCTTAGGTTGTATTTCTGTCCTGTGTATCGACAGGATCGAGCTTCAATTTGTGAGTCTTCTCTATATACAGAATAATAAGGAAACCAAAAGTACATTGAATCAAAATCTTTATAAAACGAAATTCGATTATGAAGTGTAGTAAATCAATCTCCAAGGAGAAACTGCGGATCATTGCAGGAGCAGTCGTGTTGATAATAACTGTTTTGACTGTGTCTCTTGTCGTCATATTTGAGATTCGCAAATCTCCTGATGAGGACGGTAGGTACATCTATGCAGCAGTGGTAAACATATAACTTAGTAACTACTTAACACTAGACCTCTTTTCTTCGACCAACATGATCAGTACTGCTCTAAAATTATGAGGCAAGCTTATAGACAGTGAGTCAAGAAAAATAAAATGCTTCGCTCAGCATCTTCTGCAGACATTTATGCGCGGCAGTTTATAGTTATTTTAATCCTGTTTGTGTGTGTAAATACTATCAAATTTGTTGATGTTGATCATTATTTGTTTCACTGTGCGCCGCCGACCGACCGGACTAGCGAAGCCTTCGGACATCGAGAAAGCTGCGTGCTTCTCTCGGAAACAGTTTCTAGGATATAACATCCGTGCAATCCTGGAATCTTGCGGGCCACAGACGTTGCAACGCCAAGCTGTAAATAAAAAGCTTCCTTTTCTATCCAACCACTGCATGAATTAATCGAGTATTTAAATACGTTTTGCGTATACTTAAGTGTCAGTCAAGGCAGTTTCTTAAAACCTTTAATTTGTTCACCTTTGATACTAATATTTCATCTTCCAAAACAGATGAAAAGGACAAAAGAAGTTTGGGCACAACTTTTGACTGCACACAGAAACCCCTGTGTGATGTTGATGCTACCTGTACAGCTGACCTAAGAGACGAGAAACGTTACATTTGTGTTTGTAACAATGGCTTTAAAGGCAATGGCTCTGTTTGTCGAGGTATGAGAGTATCTTAGACCCATTATGTAGGTTCACAAGGCCTATTATCTATTCAGTTTGACTCAGTGTTAGTCTAACGCAAGGCCAGGCTTTGAAACTTGTTTTACAAGACAATGTTGCAAAAAAAATCGATTAATCGATTCACGCAATAGATAACGATGATCACATCACAAACTGAATAGTTGCTTAAAGATTCCTTGGTAGCAGTTATCAGGCCAGCCTGCAATTGAATACATTCAGAAGAGGATGGAGAGTAAGACAGGTAATCTCACTCGTACTATTTTTAGACATCATTTTACTTGGACTGTTCTTGTGGGAAAAATCAGTGTCATATGATTGGCTTTTTCTAAACTCTCCTGGGATTGCTGAAGTCAAAAGTGATCTTACCTCTAATGAGAAGATCTACATGGGAGATTATTCCTTGCCTTTCATCTTTTCTTTCTTTTTTATCACTTAATACACAAAACAACACTTACAAGCACAACATTCGCTATATACTAGTTGTGTGTATAGATTATATACATTCATTTTCTTTTCCATTATCCTTTCTTGTCACATTACATTAGCAAACCAAAATGATATGTAAAAGAAGTTTTGTTTAACCATGGCTATTATGTGTGTCATCACTTTCTACAGACAATAATGAGTGCTTATCCCAAGAACTTCATTCATGCCCATCTACTGCCAAATGTGAGAACACGATTGGTTCCTATCAGTGCAGTTGTCTCCCAGGATTCCATGGGGATGGCAAGTCTTGTCAGGATATTGATGAGTGCAAGGCTAATATGCATAATTGCAGTGTTCGTGCACTTTGCAACAACACTATTGGCTCTTATGCCTGCAAATGTCTTCCTGGCTTTAAAGGAAATGGATGGTCTTGTCAGGATATTGACGAGTGCAAAACTAATATGCATAATTGCAGTGTTCATGCACTCTGCAACAACACTATTGGCTCTTATACCTGTAAATGTCTACCTGGCTTTAAAGGAAATGGATGGTCTTGTCAGGATATTGACGAGTGCAAGGCTAATATGCACAACTGCAGTGTTCATGCACTCTGCAATAATTCTATTGGCTCTTATACTTGTAGTTGTCTTCCTGGCTTCAAAGGAAATGGCTGGTCTTGCCACGACATTAATGAATGCGAGGATGGGACTCACAAGTGCCACACACACGCCGCATGTACAAACACCGGAGGCTCTCATGAATGCAGCTGCATTTCTGGGTTTCGTGGAGATGGTCAAGTTTGTCGAGATGTCGACGAATGTCTGGATGGATCACATGACTGCAGTTTGCATGCGACTTGTATGAACACTGTGGGTTCTTATTCATGTTCATGCAAAGACGGTTTCTATGGTAATGGACGTCTATGCACTGACGTTGATGAGTGCAGCGAAAGAATTCATCTTTGCGACGCTCATGCCAGCTGTGTTAACAAGCCTGGTTCTTACAGCTGCTCCTGCAGAAAAGGCTACATTGGAAATGGACGACATTGTAAAGGTAAGTACAGGATCGGCAATTGAAGCTTCATTGATTTCTTGATCACAGTTTTCCTCTTGCATGATTTATGCTAAAGAAATACGTCCCCTGTGTGTAGTGCCTGGGCCAAGGCTCTAATACCTGCAGTTGTGATTCACGTTTTCATGGTGATGGGATGTCATGTCGTGATTTAGACAAGTGCACACAGTGTGTCCACGACTGTCATCGGCAAGCGGTGTGCAGTAATACTTTGGGATCATATCGCTGTTCTTGTTTGTTTGATAGACAAACAAACATTACAGTGATCGATCTAATCCTGGGGTCCAGCGCCACCGGCCCATTTTGCCAAAAAACATCAGAATATTTTTGCAGTCTCCTAAGGTGATTCCTCAGAAGTAAAAGTTGTCGAACGATTCTTTTTTGAAAATATTTTTAATGTTCCCTACCAAGCACTGCTTCGAAAAATACAATAAAAAAAAAACTGATAGGTCACCGTGCTCGGAAAAGCGATATGATGGACCAATCCTACCCCCGGTTAATGCCTGTACTGGTTCCAATCACGTGCGTTATCTTATCGGTTCACGTTATATTCTGCAGTAGCTGGAAGCAACGTCTCGAGCACATGGAACAATATAATTTACGAGTAAAAAAACAATTTTAAACAACACAACTTAAAACGTTCCTGGAGTGGTTGTTCTTAAAAGGCCATAATTTGAATCCTGGAGTAACCGTATTGTGCACATTTATAGCCATATCATTTTTTTTCCTTCTGAAATATTTTGGTCAAAATTTTCAACTTAAAGAGGATAATCAGTATTTACCAAAATTTTTCAGTTGAAACTAGCATTTAGTTCGCTGTCGATCTTAGCTTGAAGGAAATCTCTTGGTGTTAGATATTTGCACCACAGGCCGCTCAACCACAAAAATGAGAGCCCGTATTCATACCGTAGTGCTCAGGTTACGCAACAGTCGGAATTAGTGTATCAATATATGGGGAAACGTTTATATTCTCAAGCCTAAAATATACGAAGTGTTTAGTTTTAGGTAGCTTCTTTTTGAATTTACTTTTTCCGACTTTTTAGAGGGAGAAAAGGCACCAACTGCCGACAGTACAAGTTGACTGGAACAAATATAAACGTTTAACCAGGAATCGATCCGTCGAAATCAACAAATGCAAATTTAATCACCGCAGCGTTCCCTCAGATCATGTAAGGCTACAAACTTACAAACCAACAATATCAACTTGTTATTACACTTAACAAATGAGCTCAAAATGATTTTCTTCCTAGAACTCGTTCTTGTAATTAAAATGATAAAAAAAAAACGACAGCTTAAGGTGGCTGGTACCAGTTTTCAGGTTTTTGATGGCTCATAACTTTGTAAGAATAGAACAAAAAGACAGACCAGGGCCACTGTAATATTTTTGTAGATTTGGATTACATAATTTATACTTGACCTAAAACAGCTGTTGTTTTGTCGTCAGCAGTTACCATGGCAACATTCCAAAAGGATTTTCCAGACCTGATTTTTCGCTCATGTCACTAATAACTAAAAAAATTAACCCGGTGACCCCGAGTTTTTTTTTTTAAACCATAGCTTTTGGCATCTGAAAAGGGAAATGCACAATTTTGAGTAAATTTAGCAAGACATTTGGCATATACTCAGTTTAAGTACACGTGTGCACGTTGATTCTCCGACGGTGAGTCTCTCCAAGCCATTTCCTGAATTGGTGACAGTATTATATGGATAAACTGTAATACAAGGACCAATGTAATGAAAGACAAGACAGGTATTTTTGATCCCCAAGGGCCAGACTCTTCAACCTTCTGGGATAAACAGGCGTGACGAAATTTTGATCCATTTATATTTTTAAATGCATCCGCTTTAGTACACGTTTCCCTTTTCTCTATTTTTTTCAACCTATCATGTTACATATATCGTTTAGTATTATTTCAAATTTTGTAACCGTTTTATCCATTTTACTCCAGTCCTGTCTAACCGAAATATTGGGCATTAATTTTATCCTTTTCAGCCGTCCGGTCAGCCTTTCAATTGGTTTTAGACAGCATTATATACCGTTTTTGTTCAGTGTTTAGTGATATGTACAAGTTGGAATAATGTTCGTGGTTTGTCTAGTCCCATGTCAACCATCTGCTTTTTCATCGTATTTCATTTATTAACTTGCGATTTGGATGCATGGACAGTGTAATTACACCGGTAGCAAACCTCGTTTTTCGAATTTAGGTTTTGAGAATGCAAGACTGCAGTTTTTTCTCATGGTTTCTCATATAATCTTTTTCTTCTTTTGCAGCTTCCGCCGCAAACCAAGGACAAACACTAAACAAACAAACAATTATTATTATTGCTTCTGTGTGTGGGTTTATCGTCATTATTGCTTTTGTTTGTTGTTTTGTGTTATGTTTCTGTAGGCAAAAACGTCGATAAGACTATAGATGTTACATCCATTACTCTGTAACTAGCTCATTTTAAATATTGAAGGTAATCTTTTCAAGCTAAGCAAATAAGCAACATGAGGAGGTAGTGGATGTTGACCTCAATGACTGTCTTCTTTTTATTTTGGTTTGAAGCATTAATATTATTCATTGAAACATTGAGATACGACTAGCGAAGCTTGTTGAAGAACGGAAATGTTATCAGTCCAGGTGTGGAATTAGGGGGACAGCTAGAACAACAATAAAGTAGAAAAAGATTGTGTATATTTTGGCAGAAGTTAAGGCAAACACTTTGCACAGGTTCCTCATTGTAATTAAAAGTAGTATTTGTTTTCTTGCTAAAATAGTGATAAAAATACGTCTTCCTCCTAAGTCTGGTTTAGACTATAGCATAAGAATTAGAGTATACGCAGATACGTAGACGCAGTAGAGTGCTGCTGAGGAGTCCGAACATCAGAACAGGAGAACGAAAAATGCTGTCTCCCGTCATGTTGCTAGTTAATGTTTCCCGTTCATTCAGCCTAGGCGAGAAAATCGTCTTAATTTCGTCACTAGAGAACGACAGCGCATTTGGTAACTCTTCTACTGGTACATGTATCCGGTGGGCAGACTTTCAGTTACTCCGACAGGGTATCCCGACCCCTGTTCTTGCTTTTAGCTATGCGTCCTTCGAGGCGTGGAGCAACGTCTCCGTTTGCAGATCACACCCGAAGCGAGGTTTGCCAGGCTTTTCGTGCTCTTCATACTCCTGCATGCAGCCATAACTTGATAAACGCCGATTGTTACCTCGAGGAGAAGAACATAGATTGAGTGCTATTTTAGACAAATCTCTCAGAACCTCAGCACTCAGTGGCGAATCCAAACCTTGAGCTAAGGGTGTGGGAGGGGGTTGTTTTGCTTGCCCTGCCGGCTTTTCTTCCTTCTTTGATTCCTTCTTTTTCTACCCAAAATAAGGGGGGCGGAAGCCCCGGGCCCCTCCCCTAGATCCGCTACTGGCACTATTTCTCCAAAGGCCGGATGCTTTTTTACCATCCGACTACAACGTCACTAGCCTTGCATTTTGTTGGGCAAGGGTCATGTCGTCCAATTTCACTACCTCAAGCCTTGTATATTGACGTTCTCTTAAACTGGCGTGTTTTCCTGTATATCAAAGATCGGAACCGAAGTACTGTCCGTTGTATCGTTTGTCAGCATATTCTATTGATCTCGTCTAAAATTAGAACTGGTGAAAACCACTACTTGTGTTCTTTAAAGATCTCATTGATCCCAACAGAAGCATCTGTGACTCCAGCTTAAGAAATCCGTACTGCACTGATAGTAAAACAAAACTCGCAGCACAACATCTGTGCGAGATAAAAACCAAAATAATATATTATTATTTTTTGGTTTTAATTCAAGCTTAGTCCGAACACAAGAATAAAGTTATGAACCAAGTAACTGACACTCAGACATGCTCTATGAGGGGAGGATGTGCCCGAAAGGGGTGCCGGTAATTTTTCAGTTTGGAGGTTAATAAAGAGTGGGTCTGTTTTAGACACAAACTGCAGACTGCGTACTGCAGCGGACTGCAGAATAACCCTAACTCGTCGTAATATTGGCCATAAATAACCTTAGGCTACTACTATCCCTGTAACACTAATTATTTAGTTATATTTAGTTAGCGCTCCATGCTCAGTACAACACGAGAGGCGCGTTACTGTGAAAAGCGCAACACAAAATGTTGCAGGTTCTGTTTGCTTGGGCCAAACAACAAAGTTAGCTTGGACTGTTTGACCTGTTGTCTGAGTTCTTTTTAGTGCACCCTGAGAGATTATGGAGTTCAGCTGAACTAGTTTCAAAGGGGTCCGTGGTTTCGACGTTTCTTCTTGTGCAGTCTACCATCTTCAGTTCTGCGGACTTCGTAAGAACGAATATCCACTTGGTCTTAATTCTACTCGTTCCTTAAACCATTTCTGCTCCCTATATTTATCACCTGCTCAGACGAAGTCTCGCTACCAATCCCGCCTGTAAATTTTCCAGAACCAGCGCCAAGCCTTAAGAAAATCTTCAGCGGCCAGATGAACATCTACATGCCGCCCGACAGATACTTCATGACAAAATTCTGCGACATATTCCAAAAAACCTTCTCAAACAGGTCACAGAGAAAGGGTCGAAAGATTGGCTAAGAGTCCCTAAAATGAAATATCGGCCTCAACAACTCAACTTCGCTGTTTTCTGCGCCATACAGGCTTGTGGAATATCTCGCGAAATCTTTGACAGCGGATTGTCTCTGCCGCCCCAAATAAGAGCCTTTTACAAATTCCACGTCTATTTCACGGTCAGGCGAATTTTGTATCAGCTAGGTGGCATTCAGAGCAAAAACGCTCTGCCCGGAGATACAACATTCAACCAATTCAATAATCCTTATGGCGAAGGCTTTATACGACAGAATCTGCGATGAGTTCGGAATAATCCATCGAGTGATTTTCGTTTCGAACGTCGAATGAACCACGGCTTGGGGAACGTGTGCCTTTACATGTATGACATAGAAAAGGTAAGAAGGGCGAAATAGGCCCGTTTTCCCGAGGT